CCCTTGCTTGAAAAAAAAATGAAAACAAGCAATATTGCCTTTCGGATGGCCAGTATCATTAGAGTCAATATATATTAACCAATTCAATTTTTTTCCATTACTTCTAGGTTTTTATATACATGGACAATCGTACTAATTAGAAATTCGACGCATGTAAACAGCTGGTTTTAGTCAAATTACATTCAGAAAAAACATTGTAAGATAACAATAGCCGACAAAATACTGTATTCTGACAATAGAATTAAGTCAATGTTGATCATGATTAAGTCGTGATTTGCTGACCATAAATCGGATTATTTTGATCCAATCGACTCTTGTCTGGCATATCTTTGACATATTAAGACATCTAGTAGTAAGAACAATAATAATCTTTAGAGTGGTCTATTTTAACAATGACAAGACTACCAAAGTTGCACTTAAAAATCGTCTTACCAATTGTTCATTTGTTGACGACATAATAACTTTTGTAATTATTAAAGACTCGAGAAATACCAACATTTATGTCTTGTATATAACTGATTCCCAACTAAGCCAACGACGATCATTCGAATTTCATTTAACAAGAATTGCCGCGATCAGTTATATGGAAAACATGAAGAAAACGGAGTAACGTACGCGACATAGCCAAGGGCCGAGTTTCACCGCTGTCATTCCACCCGACCAGATTTGAAGATTTTAACTACCAAAAAATCCAATTGATTCTGATTCTACAACCAAATATTAAATCGGTTATATCAGTTTGCTACCATCTACCAGTTAGTCATCATCTACCAACAAACTAATCATGTTCCCTCTTTCATGTAGCTTTACTAAAATTAACTCGCTAGCAAGGCAGGGTTGCTTTCCCTCCGGCATTCCATGTGCTACTCTGCGACTGGATTTGAGGCAGACCATACGAAGAGTTCTCATAGCTGATATTGTTTATTAAAATTTGGTAACATTTATCTTTATATATTAATATTATATATTTATTGTATTATTTTAAAGCTTGTTTAAATCTTGTTCAGTATCTATCTATGCATCTAGGATTCTACTTTAAGGTATTTACTAGCAATGACTAACCACAGTAACGAAGTGTTATTATGGTAAAACAAATCAATACAAGAAGCATGTTAATCATAACCAATATCATAATGAGCAATTTAAATCGACATCAATTAATGTTATTGGTTGAAAAGGTCATGACGTCATGTCATTCATCGTTAATTACACTTGTCATTGGTTTGTTTGACTGTCAATCATCAACATTTGGTCATAAGTCTGAACAAATATTACCACATGTTTATCATTTATTACCACCATAATCAATATAAGGGTCAAATCGTCTGTTGATGTAGTACCAAGATATTTACTTTAACTTGTGGTTACGTCGTTTGGACGAAATGAAATTAAATGGCTAATGAAGACGGAAAAGGCGGCTCTACGTGTAATGAGAAAGGTCTGTCAGAACAACGAAATATGTTCCACTTCCAACTGTCGAGAAATCTTTAACACACACAGGCTGCAGAAAATGTCAGGCCCTCCAACCTTCATCACTAACACGGGGTTAGTTGCAAATCCAAAGGTACTATAGCGACAGACCCCCAGACCTTCTACGTTTAAGCACATGTTAAAAGTAAATTAGCTCCTCCTCAAAGAATCGTTCGGAAATATATATTTATGATATTTATCCGCTAAGAAATTTAATGGAGTGTCGTAAAGGCTTTGCAATCACGAATCAGCAATGTCATGTCAGTACCAATCACAAATGGATATAAAGCACTCGTCCCCTTCCTTAATAATTGCGATGGCACCATTAAAGAGTGTTTTGGAAATCATTAGATACAGTAACGTGGAATAATCTTTTATAAACACAACGTTACAAAGAGTGTAGTCAAAGGGAAGTAACTATATATTGAACTTGAATTGGTCTTCCACTAGTTATTCATCAACTTTTCCAGAAATCCCATTAAAGATTTTCCATTGCTTCGCATGGAAAAAACTTAGTTACTGAACATAAAATCAATATATCATGACCATGACAATTTTAAGCTAGTCAAATTGAAAGTAAACCACTACATTTTATCAACATCATCTGGGCTGTGACAGCTCACAAAACGCCTATTTTTATAATTATCGTTTTATCTCCAGAGTTTTTGTTTAATTTGCAATGGGCTATAGTTTGGACTGTATTTTAATGGAACTTTATATGCACCGACCTATGTATTTATGACCCAAAAGCAATTGTTTTGGTAAAAATGTCGAAAACTAGTTCTGGAGTTATCTCCCGTGGTTTTTAAAATGAATTTCGGAATTAAATGCATTGATTAGCTTTAGTGATACATCCTTATGAGTTAATGCAATAAGCGTATATTGTAATTATATATAAGGCATGATGGTTTTAGACCAATGGTAAGTCATTTGATCCATGCATCAATTATTTGTTAAATATCTTCAAATGGTAGTTCCGTTCGGTTTTTGAGAAATATCAATATTTACAAGCGGACGAAACAAGTGTCATAAGTGTCTTTGCCTTCAGCTCAAATTGCACTAATAACATGCTAAATGTAAGGTTTTTCGCGAAATACTTCGTACTAAATTTAACTTGCATAGTAGAAAGATTTGATTAATTGATATGTGGAGAGATCTAAACACAGAATGTAAAGGGAGGTAACAAATATTACATTATTACAAGACAGACTACAATTTGTCCATTTACATGATCCGGCGTACCGTCGATGACACTTGATAAATGATTTCTTCGCGTTCGACACTCATGGAATTAACCAGAAGTAAATAATAAGTTAAAACAGGGTTCAGAAAACTATTATGAATATGATGAATATATAATCTTATTGACCAAGATCAACCTTTTCCTTTTAAGAGATAGTATTCCTTTTAACACAAACTACCATGTGTACCATGTACTTCTTTCTTTTGCAGTGGTCTGAATTAAACATGTTCACCACGATAGGTACACGATGAAGGGCCTACATCGACGAAAAATTGGTGTCAAGGCTCGGCGGGAGGCAATTTACCCATTAGTGTCAAAGTCAGATAGTATTGACAACACATTATAACGATGGTTTATTATTTAACATAATTATGTTCATAATACATAATATAATAATGAACAAATAATAGTATAAACTATAGAAACCTTACACAACGATAAGGTTATGAATATAATAAAACAAAGTCATTGTTCTGCTTTATGGTAAATAGGTGCAATATCACGTATACTCATTATAATGTCATAATGCGTACCTTTTCAACAATAAATTGATATTATGCCCTATAAAAATTGACTGGAGGTATTTTGTCATTTAAAAGCAGGGAAAAAAATCGAAGGAAAGCAACTTTACAAAAGAGTAATTGGAAATGCTAGTAACACGGTTACAGAGGGATACGTTCTGATACAGACATATTCGAATAATTCATCTAAGTCTAATGTAAAATTACCGTATTTGTTATTCAATATACTTATACGACCATTTGTATAGTGAAGAAAATTAAAATTATCAATTCTATGAACATATCACGTTCAATTATAAGGCAAACCATTTCTAAGAGGTTTGTAGCGTTTTGATGTTTTCTACTGTACGAGTAATATCAATAGGTAACCAAAGAGAAGACAAAAGTTTCGTGAATGCAGTTTTTAAAAGACAGACAACTGAACGCAAGGATTTTGAAATTCAATTTTTTGTTGACATTTGTTATTAAAAAAGTAGGGAACTTATCTTTATTTACAGACAGTCGACAAGTGTCATATATTCATTGTTAAATAATACCTATTCATATTTTGCACCGAAAAACACGCGACGTTATTAAATGTGTTAAAAGCTAATAAATCACCACTTTTAACTTATCGCTATTAATTTTTTTTTCAAATTTTGAGTTTAAACATGAACCTTTAAATAAAGAGTCCATTGTTCAAAGAAGTACTTTTTATCCCTATTATGGAGGTCTGTAATCGTATCATCCAAATTTGCCACGTTGGTTGGTCTTTACCAACGGTATTCACAGAAACAACATCGGCTTTATTGTCTGCATAATTGTAGGAAATATTGCTATACGTACATATAACTAAAATGTGACAGTTTTCAAAATTGGTCTTCATTTTGCACCAGTTAAAACAGTTTTTTTCTTTCGAGTAGTTATAAATAAAAAAGTTGGTTACGGAAAAAATATTACAATTGTTTTAAAAAAGGTGTAATTGAAATTTTCGTTGACTATTGCTTCGTGTTACCGTTTCAATATCAGACATTATATTAACCATGTTTCTAAGATTTCTGGACTACCATTCTACCACTTTTTCACGGAATAAAGGATTCTAATGTCTTTTCACAACCGTTATTATTCAATAATGTATACTTTTGATATTACTGTTCACAATGAAAGCTCCTTCAATATATTCATCCGTCTGTGGCACAGCACCGCGCAGAATACACATTTACCGAACTATTTGGTGGACACCCCCTCCCCTTCCCTTGACGATGAATTCCTGGAAATAAAGCTTTTTTGCATTGCTTTATTCCTGTCGAGAGGAGGTAACCTTCGGGCATTCGAGAACGAACGATCTCGTCACTTAATATTCTGTTTTCTTAACATATAGTTCTCTTAACACACAGAATAATAAAGGTCCTTATATACACCTCGAACTAGGATACAGACAAGCATTAACATAGATGGTGTCCCAAATGTAAACATTACATTCATTGCATTTAAGCATGTAATGATATTCGAAGATTTCAGTGTCTGGATTTCAGTTGTCGATCTTTTATTCTAATGGTGCAATACGACATTTATTGGATTTACGTTAATTATGTTAATGCAGACACCAGATAGACGTCTTACCCGTTACAAAAATTTGACAAGAAATGAGTTTTAAACGAGATTCGAGATTATTGTCTTTAGCAGCTTAAATGAAAGAATAAATACTGCTATGGAGTTTTATTTTTTTTTATCAATCGTACTGTTCAGATTCCCTGAAACACTGGAAAGCAATCTTCCTCTTCCATCTATATTTTGAAAATCCATCCCCTGTGTCGTTTCTTTAGAGCAAACTTCACCTCCAGGCACCCAAGTTCTTCTCTTGACTCGTCTACTATCGCCACACGCAGTGCATAGTGACCCTAAAATAAAAAACCAAGAAGAGTGTGATGTATCGATGTCGCTTTGATTCCGAATTCCGCCTGTACGACACCACGTTGTCTCCATCTTAAAGTAATATCTTGAGGTTTTTCATACTGGTATAAAAAATGCGGGTACGAGCTACGTCTTGCTCCTATCTTGTGATCTTGTTGATTATTGAAGAAAGTGTGGTGTAATTTCTTTTTAAGGTCCTCTTAAGGCTGTTTTGTTTCCTTAGAAATAAGAGCCCTATTGATGAAATAAGGGACACAGTACAGAAGACATACTATACTGTATTTACTTGAATGTTAAACAAGGAATATTTCACTTACATTTAGTAATGCTGATGCAAAACCATTTATTTTAGGTACATTTACCGGTATTTTAACAATTGAAAAATCTGCTGCTTTGATTGGACAATGACATTGTATCCCGTAATACGACATAGATCTGGGACAACCGTGTTTCTCGTATCTTTCAAATCTCGAACACACATTTTCATATGTACTGAAACGAAATGAAACGAAATGCGGAAAGCCTACAAAAAGTACTTTGTATGAATTTCTTGCTTTCTTCAGCTACATAAGGGATTGCATTGATTTTCCAAAATGCATATTTGTTAAATATATCCAAAGTGTTTTTGTAACAGTAAAAATTGCCTTTAAGTCAAGTGTGTGTAACATTATAGTCATCTCTTATTGGAAGAGTGTTTAACAGTAGAAGTTATCTCATATTGGAGGAGTGTGTACCATCAATGGCTTAAGAAATGGGTATACGTTTCTTGTTCAAAACTTGATGGCTTTTTTTTATATGCATAGCTGGTTATCTTTTGGTTATTGGTTACAATTTGCCAGCATCTGGGAAAAAGGCATAGCTTTATACCTATAGAGCATATTTTTGGAAACATGACTTGCTAGATTTTGGAAATAAGGCATTACTTGATAGCTCATTCTTAGATAGCATTTGGAACAGCTTTCTGAAGTCTAATTTGCCGGAAACATTTAGAAATGTTTGATTAACTCACCAAGATCCAATATAACTATTAATACAAGGAATCATGAAAGGAACTCCAAAGAAATATTTAGTAATACTGAGTTCCAGAGATATTCTTCTGGGTAAATCATGAGTAATGTTTCCTGCCAAAGACACATATAATGTTCCTGGAATTATGATTGGCATGGGAAAGGCACTGATTTTGGTGAAATGAATAACTCGGTCTGGATTGGTACCTGAAATTATAAAAAAAATATACCAGTGCTTTAGTTGACAAACGAGCGGTGCACATTTTGCAATAATACAAACTGCATCAAGTGAGAGGTACGTTTAAAATTTGCATTTTGCATTGCATTCGTTGTTATGATGACTATACATTTTTGTTAGTTTAAGGACCACTTGAACTAAAAAAAAACCAATGAGGATGAGTTTGAACTACAACTCGATTGCAGACAGTCGGATTAGGCATGCACATTTTAAAAAAGTTTTACTCCTTTATTATTTTTTGCTAGACGAGTGATGCGATTGTTCTCCAAAGCAGGTCAAGTAACATCTTATAGGTTATAAAAAAGCTAACAGCTGCTGTCTGCCAATGGATAAAATAAAGCAAAGAGCATTATTCTATTTTAATGAAGATACAATTTCGAAGCATCAGTGCACCTGTCCTCGACACCTGATTTAACTTAGCGATTGGGTTTGTCAAGAGCTAGGCTATCGACACAAAAGCACAAACGGTAGCTAGAAAGATTTCCTGTGTGTTTATTTTTGGACGATCTGTATTATTTTTTTTAATGTAGCAGACATTTTCACAATTATATTGACACTATAAAATATTTTATTTCTTCGGGTGGCTCTTGGCACTTTGATTGAAACCTTGCCTAAAAACACGACATCTGAATGACGACTATGTGTACTATGTTTTGAGCTTCAGGACCACCCGATTCGAGTCTTGGAACTTTCAAGAATTTCTTTATTTGATAAATGGCCACCTACTTGTTACTACTCATGTTGTTGTGAAACAATGTCTAACTATTATCACGATACAAGCGTACAATAATTGAAATTCGCCTCCCCGAAAAGTTATGTTTGTTGCTAATTTCACGAATTTGAAAAGGTCAGAGACAAAAATAACAAGAATTGTATGTTCAGCTAAATATCTAATCGAAAGTTAATGTGCCAGGGCGACTATCTGGTATCCATTGTGGAAAAATGTTGTTTACAGCTTTTACTGATTAAAACCAACTGAACTGACCCCGTGTCTCTACGAGGAATCACGAAAACGAAAAACGTAAATTTCGTATCGAATGGGAAATAGGCGGCAAAATCAATCGAGCTCAGCCTTTTTGAAATCGTGTATGTAACCTATTCATATTATTTTTAAACCATGTCAAAGCAGGTTTATATTTTGTTTAATTTATCCTTAGTTCAATGAATAAACTAGACAGCTATTTTTAGAAATTGGGGAGCAAGTTTAAAATGGGACTGTAGATATAAGCAAAGTAAGCTGACTTACAGGGCGTGTGTACATGCTCTTACAAGCCTTGTGTTTTGGGGCAATAATGAGCACAGTATCACCAAGTACATACACGCTATACCGACAGGACTTTTGGTGCAGATTGCAGATATCAATTTCATGCTAGTCACAATCAGGTGGCTTAGAGTGCCAGTCATGGTATTTTACATTTCCAGTTTCAGGAAAACAGTCTGTGTGGTATGGAAGAGGACAGGAATGTCAGGAAATGTAATTTGTATTTAATGAATGTCAAACAAAGAAAGGTCGCAATTTAAACATCATTAAGACGTTAATAACGATCACGAAGCAACAATTATCAAATTGGTAATGACTTGTTTTTGTTAATTAACCTTTCCGTGCACCTATTTTCGTTTCCGTTTTTGACCGATACAACTGCAGAATAGGACACCCCTGTAGTTGGTATATATTATACTCTGCCTGAATCCATAATACATTTCAACTCTCCAATGCGTAAAAGCATTAACATTCTGCAATATAAACCTGTCTTTCAGGAACGCTTATGACGTCTATTTGCAACATTATGTTCGACGTTGTGCTATTCCGGATAAACTTGCCCAGATTAAGACGCAAATGCCTTAGTGATGCTATGATATGGCATGAATTCTGTTCCCCTTGAAAAACGCTTTTGAATTGAGGAATATTGACTAAGAATCACTTGTTCCGTATATGTTAGTGGATTGATTGGCTGAATTACCGAAATGGCATCTCTTCATAGTACATGAACGTAGGTAAATTCTGCGATCAACGTTTGCACTGATTGAAAGACTTACGTCAATATTTCTAATACCTGTCCATTTTTGTGTTTTATATCCGTTAAATATTTTATACTCTTTAGAAGGGTTATCGTTGACTTTGAGGCGAGAAAATGATGTGATATTTATGGCTATTCGTCTCATCCAGCCATGACTTTCCTTGAATAAAAAGACGATAACACATCTCATAAAGGGTATATCAAATGTAAATTAAATCTATTTTCATCTGACTTATCTTTAATTTCATCGTAATTGTTTTATTAAGCTCGGATAACAAGTTGAGTACTACCACAATCCCTATAACGTGGGCTCTGGTCGATTTTGCGACTAGATATCAACGACTGAACGAAATCTGGTCGAACTGAGGGCACCGGCAGTTTAAAATATTGCAGGTGTCGCTACTTGTCATTGCTTGCTTGATTTCCTCTTTCAAGGAAACCTGCTATAATCAGTTGATCAGATGTGTCCCTGCAAAAGGTGTTACTCGTATTGCAAATTGACATAAACTACCAACTTTTCAATAACACTGTGTTTTAAATTGATTATTGCTGTATCTTACATTGCAATTTACATTTCACAATATTATTGGAATTAAGGCCTAAGTCGCCAATTTTTGGGGGTTTTGGGTCCTGAATGTACATGTAAGTAAATAGTTATCATTGCTATATACGGCGTCTCACGAATCGACGGGTCGCCATTTTAACTTTCAAACGCGGACAATTCGAGAGGCACAAGGATTTAAAGGCTCAAATTTGACACTATTACTGACTATCTTGTTTAAAAATTATTCCCGTTTCTCAGAGGTACAATTTGTAAACGGTTGGTGAAACTGTCCCCTTCATATAAGTACTTATGTAATGGTATAGAAGTAAAAATTGTACCGTCATCGCAAATTAAATTAGTCAGTATAAAATCTCGAACATCAGTAATTTCCGAGGGGGTGTTTTCATAAAAGTGTGGTATATAACATTATTGAACTCGTTTGATAAATACCGTTATTAAATAGCAACCAGTGTCAGATGCTGTATTTCTACTTAGTTAAAGTACGTACTTGGTACTCAGTTCAACCGAATTATGATTAAATTCAATAGTGATAGGTAAGCTTGATATAACGGGGAGTGTCAGACAGTGCAGAATTGAAGGTTTAATGATGTTGTTCGGGTACACAATTTCAGGAATTCTCATGCAATTAATTCACTGGTGCCATTACATCGAAGGATGTTAACTGCAAACTGTGAAAGATGTAGTGAAGTGATTTCATAATACTCTTCACTTTTTCACCTTTCTTCGAGCAGGTCTGTGGTAGCGAAGGTGGCTAATATTAAGGATTGGTTTCAATCCATTGACCCATTTTTAGGCTTAATTACATATCAATGTTATTTCGAAATCAAAAGATCCTTCCTTAAATTTTCCTCTACTTCATAACAAATATGACAACATATTTCAATAAAAGGTTTCAACTTTTTTATGTTTTCGAAAACATTAAGTAAAGACTTAAAAAATAAAACCATCCAAATATTATAATTAACTGCATTGTTAATACATGTATTGCATTTACAGGTCTTCAGTGGCACTGTAATTTCGACGGTTATCAAACATCAATTGTATACAATCGCATACATCAAACTGTATTCGCAAAGTTTTGAATTATATAGACTTTTGAATCATTGCGTCAGCCCATTATGATCTATGAATAACAGTCGGAGCTGTCAAATATACTGCAGCTTTTATTTAAATTCCAAACTTTAGAGCAGAAAATACGGTTCAACACAGTACGTTCAATTTGGATTAAGTTTCTTTTACCCGTCCCCTTATTATATGCCCTATCCTTTGACCACCATGAAGTTGCCCTCTCAAAACATCGAGAAAACGTCAGAAGTCGCCAAAGGCAACACTGGCTCCGAATTTCAACAATGACAATACAGTTTAAGGTAATATATCATTGGTAAACTTGAAGATAATTGACAGAAGAAAATCAGATACCACTCATACATTATATTAAAGAAGAGGGACTAAGTGGGTGGCCTCGCTTCATTCCATCTTCATTATATTTCTTACACATTTTCTGGGTAATCTTTTGCCTTCTAATCAATTTCTATTAGCGTTACAAATTCGATTTGAAAAGAAAATTCATCAGCTTCAGCGAGGGCGTCACGAGTTTTGTTGTACGAACAAGATTCACCTTTTCATAACACTGAAGTTTTTATAACATGAAATGTTGATACAAGAGATAAACAACAATATCTTCATTCAATTTCACTTTATTCAAGAAGAATTCGCCAAGGTGGCATTTATGTTCCTATCTAGTTTTCATTCATGATGTTAATTTAATACACACACACATCTGGGTAATTCAATAGGTTTTAAGATGAATTATTAAAAAAGACTTGATTATATATTTCGTGTGCATTGACACATTTTGAATAGAATTAAGTACATTGAAAATGAGTGAAAACCGTCTAAGCATCAATGATGAATGTGAATGAACCTTTATGTATATCTTCCACCCGTATTGCGCATCACGAATCAACATGTTTGATTATTTAATTGACAAAACCTTGTAATATTAAAATCTGTCATCCATCATAACTAGTAGTACGGAACCGAGCCGAGAAACAATTCTTCTTGATTAGGTTAGCATATAACAAGCCAGATGGCGACTCGTCTAATTACCAATAAAAATAGATACGGATCAAATTTACGTAAGCTTACCAACTTCGTTTGTAGAAACTATATTAGAATATGTCTGAAAGGTGTTGAATGTTTTACTGACAGTGCTTTTGCTTTTTTTTACATATTATAAGTTATTCATTTCGGCCCAGAATTGTATCCATTTTAATCGGCTCATCTGGAACTGAAAGGCTCGCCTAACTGTATCGTGATATACAAAAGCATTGAGATTATGCGATTTCTACTCCTTACTGGACTAATGAAGACATACAAATGAATAAAATTTTACACGTCGATTTTTCATTATTACGTTCATTAGTTCATTTATAACGAAAGCAAAAAAGAAGGCAACAAATGTAATCTTTGATTCATTCCAATGTTTTAACATCTGAGAACAATTTGATATTACGGTATGAAACGACATCTTTTTCGGAGACTAATGATTTGGAGCGGTTAAATCAGGGAGTTCAATTTTTAAAAGCTATACCCAATTTTCAAAACAAACTTAGCTAAGGAGACGCAAGTTACCAAAGGAAAACAATGTATTTATACTCACCACAATCCTCAAACTTGAATATATTCTTGTCTCTTTTCTTTCTGGCGACGATCACTCCTGAACACCATAATAAAAATACCACTAACGTTAATACTGATTTTAATACTATTTTCATTTTTGAAAATTCCAGTTGATCCAACCGAATTAAGAATATAAACAACTGAACACAGGTGATTTTTCCGTATAACAATGTTGTCCTTGAAATGGTATTTGAAGATTCATTTTACAATTACGAAATCGTAGTGACTTACATTGTACATTGTAACACTTTGATCTCCTTTATCAATATTCAATAGTGTCCCGATAAAAATGTAGAGGAAAAACGGTGTAAATTTGGAATCCTCGTGTGAGTTCTACAAGTTTATAAACAAATAAGTCTTATTTATATACACATGGCACTGATTTTATTTGAAGTTCTTCTAGAAACCTTCTTCAGAGGCTCTCAAGATCAATCATCATCCGTCCTAAACCACTCTTATAAATTAGAGGTATTAAAGACAAGAGGTTGGTTTACGCTTTATATTGTTGATCAGAAAAATACCTCACACATCGATCTCGTAAATTCCGTTATGTCATTACCTGCAAGGATTCCACTTTGGTTAAAATATCTCTGCCAGCTTGAAAGAAGTTTTTGTAATCTCGATGTCAAATTTTGATTAGATGATGAGATCTTAAACTAAGGCAGGCACTGTGAAACTGGTAATTGTAACAGCGTGTTCTGAGGTTGACAAATTAACGTTTTTTCTACCACCCAGCGTTTTTAAAACTAACATTGGCAACGCATGGTAAACAATTATTTATCATCGACAGGTTGGTAAAAAGTTTTTCGTCGCTTTCTCAATGAATGTCAGTTTCTAGAAACGATGTTAATCCAATCACCAACAGATTAAGTTAACTTCTGGTATCAGTCGAGTGGCTGATTACCATGATCAAGCTAACATGTAATTTCAATTGTCTCTTGACACTTGGGTATCAGTAAGTCCGTGTCAATTCCAAATCAGATATGTCTTTCAACACGTTTCTTAATGAACGTTTTTTCGCCAGCTTTTAAACAAACTTTTTTTATTCTTGTGTATACAATATCCAATCTTCAATATCTAATAAACTGTTTTAAAAAACTTGATTTTTCTTCACTCAAGCCACCCACGTCAAAATCCGGTTGTTGGTTCGGTAAATGAATGTAAAAATTGGCTTGCTCTATACCACCGCTGTTTTTGACTATAAGTCTCGCCGAGTTATCAGTGGTCATTTCGCGATACGATACCACACTGTAATATCAGCTTCACTAACATTGAAGACCACCCAAGTTGGATTTTACGGTAGGCAACTACTGGTGTATTAGGACTGTCGATGAATTTAACAAGATACGCTCAATGGCGTAGTAAAATTCGGGGATTAAACACTTTATCCTGTCGTGGATTGTTTATCGTTCATCAAATTGGACAGGGTTTAGAATAGGAGGAGGATTGAGAAGGGATTAAAGGCGCTACTATCAATTGTTTAATAACAAACTGTACGAGACCGCCTGCGTCTTTATTCTTCACTGAAAGGTTTTTATATCTCTATGATTAGGGTCTTGTGGTTTGAATTTGAATCGCTGATGAGAATCTACGTCGTTCAGGTTTCGATAGTTTTGTTTATCTTGAGTAAATTGTAATTTAAAAAGTAAATTGTGTTTATTGTTATCCATAATCATTATTTGTTAGATAAACATTTTCCTTATATGTTTATTTCGCAGCCGCAAATTTATCTAACATTTCGTCATAAAAAAAAACGCCAATTTTAATGCGAACATTATTACCTGTCTTACTAAAACGCCATCCGTCTTTTAAAATAGTGTTCATGAAGCCTTTGTCTATTTGAAGACAAATACAGTTCTGAATTGTTTTTGCGTATCTCAATTACATTAATGAGGTTATGACCTCGTGTTACTTGTATTATAGTAGGGTATTCAGCAAGACCAAGGCCATTTTCTTAGTCTCAGAAACGGGAATTATACAGCTAAGCTTGTCAGTAATAGTATGCACAGCTCATCGTCGAAATGTGTATCCCTGTTTGAAAATCAAACCGACGACTGGCCTTTTTCAAGGCTCCGCCAATAATGATTTCAGACAGATGAAGAATACGTAAATTATTTTTATCTTATTTCTGAAAATTATTTACGTATATTCAAAGCCCAAATCAACCGTCCCCCCTAAAATGGTATAACTCGTGGCACAAATATCTGAAAGACCTCTTAGACGATTAAAAAACAGATTCCTTGAAGTTTCTTGGTTGGGTCCTTTACCTGACTATTTTAACTTAGCTTCTGAATTTGATTTGATAAGGTATTACAGTCCAACAAATCCATGGATTTTGACTTAATTTTCATTTTTGATATTTATTATTTTGGAATGGAATTCGATACTCCGTGCAAAATATTCCCGGTAAAGGAAAACAGAATGTTACTTATTACTACATGCATGATAACCGTAAATTCATCACAAAATCGGAACCCTACCTCCACTGATCCCGCATTTTATTTTTGGGATGATACTAAGGTGGTACATGAACTACCTTTTTGTATATCATGTTGATGGTGATAGATGACTTATTCCATAGGAATTCATTATCATACTCTGAATGAGATCTTCACCACGATTATTGATACGAATTAAGTTTTATTTTTTGATATTTCGAAAAGAAGATCTCGTCAATATATTGGGATTTCAAGACATAGCTTTGGTTGTTATAGAAAGGCAGAAAGCATAAGTGTTGTCTAGTACACCAATGTTGACACCCGATTTATAGGTCTGCCTTTCACATATTTAGGTTTAACGGAATTGTATTTGTCGAAATTTTCCAGTCTACTTTATGAAAACGTGGAAAATGTATCCTATGATGTGAGGTATGCAAGTATATAAAACATCAAAGGTGTGATTCAAAGGGGACGAATGTTCTTAAAAACAACTTTTATGTGGGTAATAATAAATTTGGCGAAATAAAATTCAGATAAACTGAAAATTACGAAAAAAATAAATAATTAGTTAAAGAAATTAGTGAAAAGATCAAAAGAATTTAGTGTGCATATTATTACATTTTACCACCAAACCGAATTTCATTGAAGTTCAAATGTTACAAAACGATCAAAAACTGGTCTAATATTTCATAAAATGTTTTTGAATAGGATATCAAAATTATTATTCTTTAGTAAAGAAGTATTTTTTACGAATTTTGAGGGAAAATAACAGTTTAATTAAAATTCAAACCTGTGTGTTTATGGGATCGCACTCTATCATCAATTTAATATTTCAAATGAATCAAAGGGAACATTAACTTTCCTGTGCTGTTTTCGTCACATGTGTGACCATGAAATGCACAATATGCAGTGCAAAGAATATTAACTTACTCGGAAGTGAGCGGTAACACTGTACGTTTAACAAATACATACTCTCGTCGCATATAATGGACTAAATCTTAAAACTGCACTTCATCGTTTCACTCGGGCCAAACCCTTTTTAAACAAAGTACGCTCATTATAAACGAGTCTCTATTCCCCAGAAAATTCTTGGAGGGAATGGTGCCCATACAGCAAAAAATGAAATTTATACTTTGATCTGTTGAATATTTTTAACAGAAACAAAACGTTTAGAATAATTTGGCCCATTACAAGAAGAAGTAAAATAATCCACAAACAAATTTGGACAAAAGAAACTTAAGCTGCTCGACGGACTCGTAGAGGAACTCAAGTGTGCCAGGACAGCAGCATATATATTTTCCTACCTGCATCACTGATAGAGGGGGAGGTAGGCCTACTACCTACTGCTGTTTCAATGGCTAGGTATTTTTGATTATTATGAGTTATTCTCACATAGCACTACGATTTATAGTATTATAAAAAAGCCCTCCCGTTAAAAATATGTAATACCAGGCCAATTGATCAACTATAAATAAACTATTCCCGTTTCAATTCAAGTTCCTAAAATCAACCCATTAATATATCGGAAGATCCAAAAACACCTTAAGGTCCAACCTTAGCAGAACAATTTTCAACATCAATTGGTAAAATAATCAATTATTTTGAGAAGAAGCACCACCTAGGATTTACGTAGAAGTATCAAGCGACCGACAAACCCGAGGTATGATTCCCCACCGAAATTACACTAAATGAGTCGACGTTATAATTGACAGTCTATACGGCGGGCCACCCAACAAGCTAAAGGTAAGAAATACAAAGATATATTTTAACAGCCTATTACAAACCAAAATATTGTTATCTGAACACGGTAGATTACACTCGTGTCCATTTAGTAACGAAATGCTTCGTTCTGGGAGAAATATATTTCGACCGCCGACACATTTTCATTTGCACAGCAAGCAGGACTATCTAACAAAAACACACCCAGCACAAAAATGAAGAAATCTAATCTTTGGAATAGCATTTTTTTTTATTGCAGATTAATAACTCTTATTTATGAACATATATCATTAAACACATACTGGGATGGTCGGTTTGATTTCATCCTGACACTTTGCATGGGCGTTTAATTTTCCCAAAAGCAATAATGCCTATTGCAAGGTGTTAAGCGGGAGCTTGTTATTTTATAAGACCGAGCACAAGGGTGTAAAAAATGTAGATGATTCATATTTACAATTAAAATCGTAAAACTGAAGTTTGGGATGAAACATGGTATATGACAGTTGAGAGGTTAATTAAAGTATCCATTGAAATGTACTATACCGCCATTATTTGTAATCATATAAAGGAAACCTTTAGAATTTATGAAAGTCGTGTGAATAAGCCAAGATGATGCTGTACGAAGAGGGGCGAGAATGGATGGACATAACGTATACGCCGATCCGATGAAAACCAGCACCCAAGATTTTTTTGTTATGAACAACCCTACTTGTTGATTTTCATGCATCCTATTCGAACATTTCAATCCGACAAAAGTGGTAAAAGGAGCAAAAATTTGCCAAGGAAAGAAACTAACAGCTATATTATTTGATTTGGCTTTGGAACTATTTATGCAATCAACTTTCGCTCTTCTGCATAACAGAGAAACTTCTCTAGCGGTTGTACTGTTTATCAGGTACAAGCATCTCCATATGATTTTTGCAACTAATATCACATCACAAATTTAGATGTTGTCTTCTACTGATTCATACACTGCTCCAGGTTTAGCTTAACAGAATTTTCTGTGTTGGGTGCGATCGTCTCACTGCCTATACGTCGTAAGTCTTGTCTCTCAATTAGATCTCATGGGGAAGTATGAAAAAATACTTCCACTGTATATAAACATGGCAGTGAGACAGATTGATGTGATAGCAGTATGAATTATAACATATCTACGATGAAAGAAGTGTAGACATATTTTGATTTGGCAGTCTTTAATATGTCTAGGTGCAAGCATACCTGCTAACATAACGTATAACGTTGGTTAATAAAAAAAATATCAATTCATAGATTGCATTATTATAAACTAGCACGGTGTACACGAAAAATAGAAAGAAATTGTGATTTGACCAAATGAAGGCTTTAAAATATATTCGTTTTTTGTTATAAAATGTTTTGATTCCCGAATTTGTGCACGATCTTTGGCGCAAATTTAGTTTCGATTATTTTGTCTTTCCTGACCCAATTCGGACAGTTCGGGAATTCGGAATTTTACACTTAAAGGTGACCTTACCGAGTCACAGTCCACACATACGAAATTAAATATTTTAATCAATATCCATATCATTTTTAATGAAATGAACGACAAAGCAACAAGGAAATAATAATATGTAACTCGAACAGGTATATTTTTTGTTATTTTCCTGACCGGCCATTTTAAAAGATTGCCTGTATTGTAAGGCATGTTATTGGATCTCATGTGACCTATATTATAGCACGTGCCTGAGTATGTTAAATGATGACTGAGATGTACTCAATCTGAAAGCCATTATTTAAATCGCTTTGGTATGAGCAGAAATCAGGGGTTGAGTAACAACATTACTTGTGACATCTGATATAACTTTTCAACCGGCGATCTGAGTTTATACAATATCTGTTGTTTTTGAAAGATCTAACGAATTTTCAAATCTTAAAATGTATGTTACTCTGATGTTACCGTGCTTACTACATCGTTTATATTTTGTAAACAAAGCAACCAAAGTTATGTGTATTTGATGACGACACTACCCTGTTTCTCACAGCTAAAGGATCCTCAATGTGAATGCTAACATCCAAGGTTTCAGTTACACGATAAAGAGTCAGCTTGGGTTTGG